TCGCCCAGGTTGCCCCACACCCCAAGGGAAACCCCATCCTGATCTGGGATGACCCTTCAGAGCAAACCAGCCACCCCCCACCCATGTATCAGGCCTCTATCCTATATAATAAAAGGGTAATATGCAAATTGACCATCATTCCAACACATAGGATGGCTGCCCCCATGTGGACATAAGATGGCCACCACAAGATGACCAGCAGGGGAGGGCAGTTCGAAGGGATGGGCCTGCAAAGGAGGGCAGATGTGGGCGATCAGGCCAGCAGGGGAAAGCAATTGGAGGGGAGCAGGCCTGCAGGAGAGGGCAGTTAGGGGTGACCAGGCCTGCAGGGGAGGGCAGTTAGAGGTAATCAGGCCTGCAGAGGAGGGCAGTTAGGGGCAATAAGGCCAGCAGGGGGGCACAGTTAAGGCCTCAATCAGGCTGGGAGGGGATTGGTTAGGGGGTGATCAGGGTGGCAGATAGATGTGGTTAGGGGCAATCAGAAAGGCAGACAGGCAAGCAGTTGGGAGCCAGCACTCCTGGATTGTGAGAGGGACATCCCTCGAGGGGTCCCAGATTGGAGAATGTGCAGGCTGGGCTGAGGGATAACCCCCACCTTGCACGAATTTCGTGCACCGGGCCTCCAGCGTTTGTGTGCGTGTGTATATTTTATTTTTTAGTGATTTCAGAGAGGAAAGGAGAGGGAGGGAGATATATGAACAGTGAGAGGGAATTATTGATCTACTGCCTCCTGGAGGCCCCTACTGGAGACTGAACCTACAATCCAGGTATGCGCCCAGACCGTAAATCATACTGTGACTTCTTGGTTCTTAGGTCAACGTTCAACTACTGAGCCATGGCAACTGGGCTTGCAACTATTTTTTGAGAGTGATTATTAGTTATTTTCAACTCTATACATAATTTTAAGAGTCTCGTGCTCTACCGACTGAGCTAGCTTGGCACCCTCTATACATAATTTTAATTGATGCTTTGATGAGAATAAAGTAAAGAAATAACAAAACTGTAATAAAAGTTTCACTTGGAAATAACCTAAGAATTTACCACTAATGTATTAAGACATGAGAGAGGGAGTGCCTACACTTAAAGTCGATTTTACAATTAAAACCAACTTAAAGACAAAAACTGTTAGTAGAAACAAAGAAGGAAATTTATATTAGTAAAAGGGACAATCCATCAAGATAGAACTTAAAAAAAAAAGAGATAATAAAACAATTAGAAAAATATATGCAATAACAACAGAGCCCAAAATGAATGAAGCATAACATGGAAGAATTGGAGAAATAGATAATTATCCAAAGTGAAAGACTTTATATCCCACTTTCAACGAAGGACTGGTAAAAGAGCCACAAGGAAATAAAGGAAATTAGAAATCATTAACACAATGACACTTGGGAAATTTATCAACAGGTCAAAAAAGAAATCTAAGCAGTCCTTAGAAATTTAGAGCTGTAAACGACCACATTAAAAAAAGCAAGATCAAGAAAACGAGAAGAAACTATGGACTGGGAGAAAGTATTTACAAAAGATATACCAGATCAAAGGCTGTCATAAAAAAATATATAGAGAACACGTAAAAATCAACAAGAGAGGAACCTGACTTTTAAAATTTCAAAAGATTTGACACCTCATTAAAGAAGATGGTTATCACCAAATGTCTAAAATCCAAAACACTGACACCACCAAATGCTGACAAAGATATAAAGCAACAGGAACTCATTGCTGGCAGGAATACAAACTATACAACTGCTTTAAAAGACATTTTGGCAGTTTTTTGTTTTTGTTTTTACAAAACTACACATACTCATACCATATGATCCAGCAATCATGTTCCTTGGGATTTATAAGTTGAAAACTTATCTCCACACAAAAACCTGCACACGTGCCCTGGCAGATTTGGCTGTGGGGTTGGAGCATTGACCTGCAGACCAAAGGGTCTCGGCTTTGATTCCCAGCCCCAGTCAGGGAACATGTGGGGCAAACCAGTTGTGTGTCTGACTGTCTGTCTGTCTGTCTGTCTGTCTCTCTCTCTCTCTCTCTCTCTCTCTCTCTCCCCCTTCTTCCCTCCCTCCCTCGACAAATCAATGAAAAAAAATATTCTCAGGTGAGGATTAACAACAAAAAACACACACAAAAAACCCTGCACACAGATGTTTATTGCAGCTTCTTCATAACTGTCAATATTTGGAAGTAACCAACTTGTGCTTTAGTAGGATAAATAAACTGTGGTACATCCAGATAATGGAATATTTTTCAGTGCTAAAAAGAAACGAACTAACAAGACATAGAGAAATTTTAAATATTTATTACTAACCGAAAGAAGCCAATCTGAAAAGGCTATATACTATATGATTCCAACCAAATGACATTCTGAAAAAGGCAAAAAATATGAAGACAGTGAAAACACTATGTATTATATTTTAAACGTAGATACATGTCATTACATATGTGTCCAAATCCATAGAATGTACAACACCAATAATATAAACAATGGACTTAGGGTAATAATGACCTGTCAATATAGGTTCATCAACTGCAACACATGTATCACTCTGGCGAAAGGGGTTGATAATGGAGGAGGCAGGGAGTATCCTATATAATAAAACCCTAATAAGCAAATTGACTACACGGTGGAATGACTGGTTGCTATGATGCACATTGACCATTAGGGGGAAGATGCTCAAAACAGGAGCTGCCCCCTGATGGTCAGTGCGCTCCCACAGGGGGAGCACCGCTCAGCCAGAAGTCAGGCTCATGGCTGGCAGGCGGGTGGTAAGGAGTGAGTGGTCCTGGACTGTGAGAGGGCACAGGCTGGGCTGAGGGGCACCCCAGCCCCCGCCCAGTGCACAAAATTTCATGCACTCGGCCTCTAGTATAGGATATCTCTGTATCTGCCTCTCAATTTGCTGTGAACCTGAAATTGCTCTAAAAAATAAAATCTATTAAAAAAACACAAAACCAATAATCTAAACTTCCACTTTTTAAAAAATATATATATTTTATTTTTTACAGAGAGGTAGAGAGAGGGAATAAAGAGTTAGAAACATCGATGAGAGAATCATCAATCAGCTGCCTCTTGCACAAGCCCTAATGGAGATGTAACCGCAATCAAAGTACATGCCCTCGACTGGAATCGAACCTGGGACCCTTCAGTCCGCAGGCCGATGCTCTATCCACTGAGCCAAACTGGTTTCAGCCTAAACTTCCACCTTTAAAAAACTAGAAACAAAAAGCAAACTAACCCCAAACCAACCAGGAAAAAGGAAACTATAAAGATTAGAGTGGAAATAAATGAAATAGAAAATAAAAAAGAGAAAATCAATAAAACCAAAGTTGAGTCTTTGAAAAGATCAATAAAATTGACAAGATTTTAGCTAAGTTGACCAAGAAAAAAACACACCAGAATATTCAAATTACTAAAACCATGAACTAACCTTACAGCACCAACCTTACAGAAATAAAAAGGATTCTAAAGGAATACTATGAACCATTATATTCCAACAAATTAGATAATCTAAATAAAATGGACACAATCCAGAAAGACACAAACTATCAAAACAATATAGAAAATATGAATAGTACTATAAATAAAAAAAATTAAACTAGTAATAAAAAAATTCTCTATAAAAAATGACCAGGACCAGAGAGCTTCACTGTCATCAAACATTTAAAGAATCAACACTAATCCTTCACACACTCCTCACAAAAAATGTGAGATCACTTCCCAACTTGTTTTATGAGGCCAGTATTATTACCCCCATACTAAAACCAGTTAAAGACACCTAATTTAGTAGAAATAAAGAGTAAGAAAAGACAGGTAAATATGAAACCTTAGCTATGACTTTAGTGAACCAGATATCAATGTAGTTAAAGATTGCAGCAGTAATTGTTTCCCCCGATATTTAAATTATTTAAAACACTGCTCTGATAATAAAAATTTTTGGATTACTCTTTTGAGTTTACTTTCTCTAAAATCAGTGGTATGCATGAAGACCCATTTAAATGTTTGAGAAACACTACCTTCTCTACTATGCTACTTTCCTTTCATAGAAAGCTAGCCTTTCTTCCTATGCATTATTCTAGAGAAATAGACAACAATGGAAATTTTGTTTGCCCTTATTATTAAACTTCGCACATTATACAAGCACTTCATTTATATCGCCTCATTTAAAAAAATGGGTCTGATTTCAATATGTATAGCATCTAGAAAAAGCAACATATCTAATAATTATTTCCAATTTCTCCTTGAACTTACACCCCCAAAAGTCATTATTTTCTTCTAACCTTCTCAAAACCAAATTGTCTTCATATACCTCTTAATTATAGCCAAGGATATTAAAAATGTTTACAACTGGCATGAGGAAAAAGATACCAGTTCATAAACACATGGTTGGATGGAACATGCTAACTAAATATCAGTGTTAGTTACTGCTTTCAATAGTCTGCTATACTTTTTTTCAATGCTAGAATGACTTTTGGTAGTTCCTTGCTCACCAATTTGCAGAAAAAGGAAAGCAGCTTTCATCCAAGATAACCACATAAATAGATTCCAAAGATTAGTTTAACATTGTCTTTTCTTAAAATTTTAATTTCTCTACTTTTATTCCTTAATACTGAAGTAAGAATAAGCATTAGGAAGAAAACACTATTGTTTTTTTTTTTTTCTACACCAATAGTCTCCAGAGAATGAGGTTCTTTAGTCAGCTTTTTATTATAGCTTTATTATTTGATTTTATCCACAAGGTTAAGGTCCAAGTTCTTTATCCATTCAACCAAATGAAAACATTTAATGCACAGACTAATGAATGGATCTGGGGATATATTAAGGATAATGTAAACTGTTAACAAAACAAATAAATGCCTGACATTTAGAGGAAACAACAGAAAAAGAATAAGAAATTCACAAAAAAGCAGAGATGGCTCACTTTAAAATAAACCCAAGATCACAGAATTATGTATAACAACATCATTTATATCTGCATTGCTTTTAAGGATCTTCTTACCCAACTTTGGAAAAACTATTAAGTATTCAGCATTGCACTGAGGACACGCCACTCTGGCGGTACTGTTTCCTCTTTGTTTCTCATCCACCCAGCGTTGCAGACAAGCCTGGTGCACCCATTTTGTAGATCCTCTGCACCTGCAAGGTCTCACCCATTCAGCAGTTCTATCATCTTCATCAGTGGCAAAACACACCCAGCAACTTCTGTAAATTAAAAGAGAAAATGACATTATCTTTAAGACCTCAACTTTCTCTCCGCTGCAGCTCTCACTTAATGAGATGACCCTACTATGGTATTATAGAACCTCTATTCTACATTAAAAGACTGAGGAGACAAAACCATCAGTACATTTCCAGTAAGAATAACTTCTTTTTCTGGTTATCCTTTTATTCATCTGCAGAACTGTTCGTTTTTATGTAATTTCCTCCATCTTTCTAGTAATTTATCTTCTGTAATGAACCAGTGAAAGCAAAGCCACAGGCTGCTTTTGTGTTATAAGATTTAATAATTCTTTGATGAGTGGTAAGCACAGAAGTATGTGAAATTCAGTGTTCCCCCCATTTCAACACTAACCTTTTTAACCTCTTGAACTTGGAAAACTAAAGTATTGTACAAGTGATTTCACACATGGTCTCATTCAATTTTCAACTGAGGGAAAACCCCCGCCCATTTCTTTCTGGTAAAGCATAACTATAAGAAAAGAGAAAGATGGTTAAATTAAAAAACAAACAAACAAAAACCACACACACACACACACACACACACACACACACACACACACACATACACACACACACACAGCAAAAGGGAAGAAGAAATGAAGACATCAGGATAAACTGATTTAGGATAATGACATGATAAATTTGGGTCTACATGATTTCATTATAGGGTATGACTGGTTTTCCTTTTGAATTATACTTATTACACTTGAAGTTTAGAAGTCTCAAGCATGTTTTCTTTTTAAAGGCTCAAACACATATGCTAATCAGAGAAGTCCATTTTTTAATCCTCACCTGAGAATATGTTTATTGATTTAGAGAGACAGGGAGGGAGGGGAGAGAAGGTGAGAAAGAGATAAGAAACATCACTTGCCTCCCGAACGAACCCCAAAACCTAGGTATATACTTGAATCGAACCTGTAACCTTTTAGTGTATGGGACGATGCTCCAACCAACTGAGCCATGGCCAGGGCTGAGATGCTTCTTATATTAAGAAAAATTCTATTGAGATGGTTAAATTTATAACGTTTTTCCACTTTGCCTTTATACTTCAGGAGGTCTAATTTGTTCTTGTGGAACTAGGTTGCAATTCCTTATTTTTCTCCCAATTAACACAAGTTTCAACACCAAGTTCTATTAGGGCAAATATAATTTAACTCAGTGAGACCATTCACCCTCTGCCCTATTAAAGTATGAATGTACAATTGGAACAACGGCTAATTAATGCTTCTTACCTACTGTGCATTTTCCACTTAATTAGGTAAGTGACTTCCGTCAGAATAACTAGCCTAACTATGCTCAGTGGGAAAGATTATATAGTCAAGTACTATAGATGGGTGAGATCTTCAGTTACTGTAGAACATGAATTTTATGTGCTCCAATTAAAGCTTCTCAATTAGAATAGAGAGAAAAATGGGACTGTATTCATGGCAACAATATCCAAAACTATAATTTTACTAAGCTTTCAAGTTCAGTCCGGCTTCATACGACCAAGGTAAGAATGGGAGGTGGCAGCCTTTGCTCAGCATGCTGGCGCTCTGGGGCCCACCCCAGCCACACTGTCTGAACCTTTCACACTATCTTATTATTGTTATCCAAAATGCCTCCTTTCCCTTAATCTTTTTAAAAAATTGTACTATGGTAAAATATACATAACAAAATTTTAACTAAATTTATTAACCATTTTTAAGAATATAATTAAATATAATTAAGTATACTGATATTGTGCAACTATCATCACTACTCATAGTTTGAGTTTTTACCTTCAATTTTTGAATAAAATTTTATTATAGAGCAAACAGACCAGTTAAAGTGTTATATATTTTCCTCACAACTGAGGTGATTTTGTAATTATATTTGTGTACATCTGAGAAATGAGATATATCATTTTGGTAATAAAACATAGGAAGATTATGTAGAAACTCTCTAGGTTAGTATAAATTTTTCATTTCAACTATGGAATATATATGTAGCTAAGTACAGTTGGACTAGCATAATTAATCAGTATTAAGATTAATCAAATTTTAAATTAAGCAAATTTTAGTCATCAGGAAAAAATGTAAAAACATATCTATTAAAACTATCCTATTTATGTAGCATTTTAGGTAGATTTGGAAAACACACACACACACACACACACACACACACATCTAACTCAGGACCATCTTAATAGGTTGTACCAAATTAAACTGCCTCTATTTGTGTTTTTTACTCACATCAATGGCAATTTCATATTTTAGTCTAATAGGAATACTTGTATATTCCCTATAAATACTGTATAAGTGTAAGTTATTTTCCCCCAACATTTTATTACGAAAAATGTCAAAGTGTCAAAGAAAGGTTGAAAATCTCTCAGTGAATACCCATATTCCCAGGAAGGAAAGAACAAATAATGTGTATGAACCCTTTCTTTCCTCATTAAAAAACCAAACAAACACAAACTTCTGATCAGGAACATCACCTGAGAAGTCTGATATAATTATGCTTCCCTTCTTTGTTTCCCCATACTCTTCTCCCTCCTTTGAAGTAGAAAATAAGTGTTTGAAAATAATGGGTTTACAGTTTCTCCAAACTTAGAATTGAGGAGAGTGTAGAAACTTGTGTTTAATGCATCAAAATCTGAGGTTCCCAGCAAAAGATCTGAGGTTCATTCTTGCAAAACCAGCTTTCTGTGCCCAGCCTCCCTCCCAATCACTGTAACCTGGGGGAGAGGATATTTCTTAAACCACTCTAAGGATTACCCTTCCTAAAGCTGGGAATGGGGAAGGACTAACTGCCTAAATTACACATATGGATGATGTCACAGGGAAGAGTGGTTTTCCATAAAAAGCATGGAATACTATTTATTCTTTAAAAAGAGGAGAAATTAGCATGTGCCCTGACCAGGAATAAAACTGTGACCTCCTGGTTCATAGGTCAACACTCAACCACTGAGCCACCCTGGCTGAACTATAGTTATTTTTTCCTTAGGTTAACCAGTTTGGGGTAGATTTCCCATCATATATAACCTAAACCAGTGGTTGGCAAACTGCCGCTTGAGAGTCACATCTGGCTCTTTAGCCCCTTGAGTGTGGCTCTTCCACAAAATGCTACGTGTGGGCACGCACCTACAGTGCGATTGAAACTTCGTGGCCAATGCGCAGAAGTCGGTTTTTGGCTCTCAAAAGAAATTTCAGTCATTGTACTGTTGATTTTCGTTCTGTTGACTAATGAGTTTGCCGACCACTGACCTAAACAATTTTGTTACACATTATGAGAAACTGAATATAAGAGATGGCCCCTTTGCTAGCTGGTTTGGCTCAGTTGGTCTGCGGACTGAAGAGTCCTAGGTTCAATTCTGGTGAAAGGCACATGGCTGGGTTGCGGGTATAATCCCCAGTAGGGGGCATGCAGATGATCAATGATCCTCTTAATCAGTGATGTTTCTATCTTTTCTCCCTCTTCCTTCCTCTCAGAAATTAGAAAATGTATTTTTTAAAAAGGAGATGGCCCTAAGACAATTATATAAAACAACAGACCTTGTATTTCAATGTGTTATATTACTGTCAGATTTTTAATATTTTAATAGCTGCATTTCAATATACTGTTTCATTTCTGATCCTATATATTTTGTTTTATTCTTTCAAAACATTCTGAGAAAGATCTCATAGATCTAACTAGGCTGCCAAAGTTGCTTGCAGCATAACAAAACATTCTGTTAAGATCCCCTATTATAAAGAATTATATAAGTGATAATGAAAGTGGTCAAGAATTGCCTGGGACATATACAACTACCAAAATAACACTAGTAAGAATGGCATTGATAAAGATAAAAAGATGGTCTCAACTTTACATGTATGCTTAAATTTTATGGATGCATTTCCTTATCTAAATTAACACACATAAAGCAATTCTGCTCGGCACCTGGTATTTAGTAGGAAAAGTCCTGTTTCCTACCCTACTCCCACTCTTTCAATAGGTCGCCACCACTGCTTAAGATATTCACTCAAATCCTCTCAATTCATTTTCTTTCGAGCCTCCTATTTGCAGATGTACATACTATTTTGGTTCCACACCTTCCTACAAACCATGCTGGGGCATATTAGTTTACAAAGTATGTAAATGGAAATCTGGAAATTACCACAGTAGGTTTAGTGATCAAAGAACAAATTACTATTTACTGTAAAACAGAACTAAACTAGACAAAAAACAAACAAACAAACATTACTTATTCCTTAAAATAAATGGATAGCCTTACGCTATTGGTCATATCATTAATCTGTATGTATAAAATACTCCTCTATAAAAGACCAGTCACTTGATTCTACATGACTTAATATAATTTTTTCCAGTTATATATCCTTCCTAATAGTAAAATTTGTAAACAGTTCAAAGAATGGCTAGTTGGCTTTAAATCTAAGATTACTCAAGATCTGCTCTTAAATCAACTTGAGTACCTATTAAGTATTGATACATTCATTATTCCATGCCACAAAGAGCAAAAATATGTATAGAATTAATGTAGGCATACATTTAAAACCACCACATAAAACATTAAGTGCCAAGAAAAGATGTTAGATGCTATATGTAATACAGGAATGTTATGACAATAAGAAACACAGGATGAAATAGCTGAGATTTCATGAAAAGGAGAGAATTACAGATGACAATTCAAGTTGGAATGGAAATGAAAAGGATAAGGGTAAATGGAAGTAAGAAATGCAGCAAATAAAGTTTAGAGATGGAAATGAACATAGATTGATGGACAATGAGAAGACCAAAGTGTTGAAGTAGAGGTTTTAAGATATAGATATTACAAACTAGTTTCGAAAGGATGGATGACAAAGATAACCTCACTTCATAGGGTTCACTTGTGAGTCATTTACTCTTTATATGATTAAGTTAACTGTTTAAAAAGTATATGGAAAAAAGGGGGCCAAAACATCAATAGAAGGTTCTCACTGGAACACAAATTAAGTAAGCAAAATACATAATCTAACAAAACA